AAAAAATAAAAATATATATATATAAAAAGGAGTGACTGCTTACTCCTCCTCCTGTAGCAAACTGCCCCACTTCCTACAGCTTCTCAGCATCTGCTGAGGCTAGAAACTGCCTTGCCCCCCATCTTCTCTATTTTTCCTGGATATTCTCATATGCTTATTTTATTTCCACTTTAAGATCAGCATGTCAAGGCATGAAAAAAAATTCTGTTGGTATTTGAAATCAATTACACCAAGGTTCCATGGTGTAATGATGAGCAATCTGGACTCTGAAATCAATTACACCAAATTTGTAGCTTGTTTTTTGACATCTTTCGACTTCTGAGTTTTATTCTGTGAGAATAAGCCATACATTTCCACTTACCGAAGTCTACTTATGTGACCCTTAATAGAGTTTAAGAGGGTTTTTTTGTGATAAGAGATGTGTTTGTCATATTTTGTAAAACAATTTTTACTGGTATTTTCTTTTTGTTATTATAAATGAGATCTTCTGTTGTTCTATCTTATAATATAAACTTCACTAATATATGTTAAGTTTTTAGTCTATCTTCAACAACTTTCATATTGTTTTTAGTAGGTTTTTCAGTTGCTATTCCAGAGTATTTCAGGTATACCATATAACTTTTGCTAATAATATTAATTTTGCATCCCCCTCGTCATTTTTCAGTGTCATGTCTTTCTTTTTCTTACTTCCTTTGAGTATATTCCAACTGGGTTAGACCACAACACTATGGTGATAAGGATCCTGTCTTAGTCCTCACTTTGATAGCGTCCTGAGAAGCATTTCAGTGCTGCACCCTTAAGCGCCATGCTGCCTCCTGGTCTGGTGTAAGTGGTATTTATATTTTCAATCCTATTCAGGTTGCATCCATCCTTCCACTGTTAAGAGTTTAGAACATAAATGTATACGGAGCTTTCTCAAACATCTTTTGAAATTTTTCTTTTGTGAATTTAAAGTTGGAGATTTGGAATTTGTCTTTCTTCTTTGATAACAAAACATGGTGAATCATTTTAATATATTGCCTAAATTGAACCATCTTTGCATTCCTGGAACAACCCCACTTGGCCGTGGTTTACTATTCTTTAAATATGCTGCCGGATGCCAGCTGCTTCATTGAGGATGTTCGTATCACCTTTCATACGTGAGAGTGATCTGTAGTCTCTTTTTTGTGCTGTTGCGCTGTCTTACCTGGTTTGGGTATCAGTGTTGTGAAACCCCGCACAGCCTGTATGTGGTCCCTCCCTCTGCTCACCATCTCCCTGTGCCCTGGTCTAATAAAGGAACATCCATGGAGGGTAGGTGTGACCTCTTTAGCAGTTACAACAGTATATTAACCACATTTAAGTAATTTAAATATTTCTGTCATCTGCCTTCCCCAAACATTTTTGCCAACACATTTCTTCCACTGTCTTCTGGAAGGAGAGAAGAGTAAGAAACAGACCTTGGCCTGAAATGGTCAATCCCTGCTTAGCAACCCTCACGGGGGCTAGGGTGGGAGTCTGCTGGGTCATGTATCTGGTAGAGAAACTGTCTGATTTGTTCTGTAAATGTGTGCATGGGGATTGTGTGTGCCATTCTCCTCATTGAGCACAGGCACTGTGCTCTCACTCAGCCCGTGCCCTCTCCAAGCACTGATGTACCCTGGGCATCAGCAGACCAGCAGGGAGAGACACACTTAGCAGGGGAAATGGGCTCAACCACCGTTGGCAATGGCAGAGACTACAAAAATACAAACCGAGTGCAGGACCCCCAAGCTCTGCACGTGCTCCACTGAGGCTGTTTCTAATTCCTTCAGGCCAGAATTCAGGTGAGTGATTTCCTGTTGACCAAAGAGAGTTCATGGGTTTCCTTTGATCAGCACACTTATGTCCTCTCCCAGCTCCCACTTCTATAGAAATCCCAGTACAAGACAAACAGTGACAAACCTCTCCTTAAAAATGTCATTGTGCCACTCTGAGGCTGGCTGCAGAACAATTTTGGCCTCTTTCCAGAGGCAGGTGTGACCGGAGCCAATCTGTATGAGGTGACTTGTTGGCTAGGGAATCATTAGCAGTGTGGACAAGCATAACAATGTTGCATTCTTGTGAGCCCCTGGGAACATGCACACCCCTCTACAGAGGGACTGCATTTACCTCCCTGGTCCCTTCACAGTTTGGATGAAAAATTGCCCAGGGTTCCAACATTTAACATTCTTTTTCATTTTCTGTCCTGGAATGTCTCGGTGTGGCTTGGCTTGTCGCCAACCTGTTGCACACCATGCCCCTTTTCCCTCGTCCAGGGGACATGTGAGAGGAAAGCTGTATGCTCAGGTCTTACCTTTGGGGCTGCCTTAGCCTGAAAATTTGCTGGTGTCTTCTTCAAGTTTGGGGCAACTTCCCAAACTGTTTTGTGGGTCTTCTGTTTTGTATTATTTTCCTTCCAGACTGCAGCAGGAGATTTAATTCTGATCCTAAGATTAATTTTACATACATTTCACAACACATGGCCTGATTTCTTCAGCGACTATTAGGCATTAGTGGCTCAGGAGATGTAGGACAGTGACAAAGTAAGAAACATTCTACAGAATGCTCTGCACTGCAGAAGCCATGTTCCGGCCTTTTAAAATGAAGCTCAGCTTGATCAACCCTGAGTTTTCTGGACTGTCTCCTTTTTTCTCTGTTGTCTTTCCTCAACACCTGTCTTCTCCTTCTCTAGGCTATGGTACCTTTGTGCTTCTTGTGGTACCAAGGAAGGGAAGAGGATTTATCCATCTCGCTCAACTGTCCTATGTGAAGAGCTCTGTTTATGTGAATGGTAGATTTTAAGGAGGGTATGTGGGGCCCACTGTGGATGAGTGTGAGTGGGGGGAGGAGGAGAAGCCCAAAGGGGATTCAGCTGGGGCTGCAGCTGCAGTGGGCAGGTGTAGGGGCTGGGTGGGTAGGGGTGAGTGGGTCTTGGGACATAGGGAGCCTAGAACATGGTGGGAGCTGAAGCTCCCTGGAGTCTTTCTGGAAGTGATTGGTTAGACTTCTCCAGAGTGGTAGCCCAACACCCTCACTAAGTTGTATGGTTTCTTATGGTTGCCCTAGCTACTGCTCAAGGGCAAATAATGTAGCCCAGCCAGTTGCCATGGTGGCATCTGTGACCACTAGTCCACACAGCATATGAAATCTCTAGCTGGGATCAGGCAGTGAACTACAGGGGGCTGCCAGAGTCCCATGCAGACAGGTGAGCATTGGTGGTCAAGAGAATTAGACACATCAGAGGGATTATAACTTCCACCCCACCCTGGGAACTTTGAGACACCAAATCCCCGATTTAATCTGTGACAACCTCCACCCACTATGTTCCCTGGCCAGAGCCATTTCTACAGAACAGCAGGATGTTTCTGCTCTATCTCTGAGCTGTCATGGATGCTGCAATCCTGATTCCACCCATTGGCTCACCCTGCCACCCTACAATTGGGAATGGACTCCCAGTTGTAAGCACCCATCCTCCTGGAGACGTCAATAAGCAGAAGGAGAGAAGCCATCCAAAGCTGCTCATTCTGATGGATTTGCCAATAGAATTTACACGAAACAGCAAGAGATCAATGAGAGAAGCCACAGATCTGAGACCCTCAGCTTTCTCAAATTCACATGCTTGAGTTTGCACATTTGTCCAAACCCCACATTTCTTCTGTCTTCTTTCCCCCTTTTGACTCCAGTCTCCTCTCCATCCTCCACGTTGCTAGACCTTCTGCATTGGCTCTGGCAGGCCCCCAGAGCTGATTTCTCCCTTGCCCAGCTCAGTCTGCTTCTCTCCCTCCTGGTGTTCTCAGGCCTTTCCATGTTTGATGCGGCGTAAGGTTGGTCCCAATGTCTGTATTGGTTCCCATGCTCTCTTGCCTTGGTAGTAGATTGCTTCAGCCATTCTCCTTCCATGTGCCAAATTAGGCTGAGTATCAAACATTTATTTTCTATTATATCTTGAGTCAGTGTTCACATGAGCTGAGCTT